ACTTTCTTCGAACATTTGGATTTGAAATGGTTCAGGCCTTTGCAATGATCGCATGTCTTTCCCCAAGCTGGGCATTTTTCTCGTTTTCGTTCATGTTTGTATCAACAATATTTACAATCAAACTGTAAATTGTCATTACCTGCCTTTGACATACTGCTCTTGTTGGATCTGGTTCTCCTGCTGGTATAATTTATAGATCATTTATTCTTCCTGTTCTTGATTATTATGATACCGTTTGGAATTGTTGTGGATGTATAAATGCTGATAATATAGAATAACTACAGAGATGTGCAGCAAGGATTATCATGTAAACCAACAGCAGTTATGAAGTGCTAGCTCACCTTGGATGTAATACGCTGGGGCTTAGACAGGAGACTCGTGTGTTAAACCTTGTGAAGAAATGTCTAAGTAAGCGCTGCCTGCAATTTTTAATGGATTACTTTTCTTTTAATAGAGATATTGTACAGAGAAAAATGCCGCTAAGTGATCATCTCCGTTTTCCCTCTATCAAACTAGAATGTACGAAAAAAGCATTCTATTTTCATCGATGTGAAGTTTTTAATTGTAATTTGTAGTTTTTATTAATGATTGTAATAATTTTAATGCCGTGTTAGGATATCTTTCTATTAATTAGCTTAGTTGGACTAGTTTTATGTATTTTTGACTTTTTTTATATTTCTTTTTATTAGGGCCTCTAAGGATATCAGTTTTTATAACTGTAGGAGTTACCCAAACCAAATAAAAGTATCTTCTTCTTTTTCTTCTTCCACTGCCTACAATTCTATCAAAACAAAATTATAACACTAAAACTCAGAATTTCCAGATAATATGAATTAATGTTTGTCTCTTTTTTGGTATCCAACATGCCAAATCCCCCAAATATTTCACAGTATCTACCAAAGATAGGTGTGGGGTACCCTCTTTTTTATCTAGTGTCTCATAGTGAAACTTACATCATGAATATTCAACTGAGTAAAGCACATGGACTACATGTAGATTCCTTTCCCATCTGCATTTTGAGATCAGCAAGAACTATACTTAGCCATCCTTTGTCTCTATACTTATAACTAAATTAATGAGGCACAGTAGGTACCCCTCCAAGTTAAAGCTTGCTAAAGTAACTCCAGTCTACAAGACTAGCAATGAATCTAACCCTTCTAAGTGTGGACTCTATTGCTGTTGTGAGTTTTTATTGAGAAAATGATCTTCCATTGTCTAAAATAATTTCTGGGGAAAATGGCATCCTCTATGATTTACAGTAAGGTTTTTGTTAAAAAAAAGAGGGATTAAACATGCCATTTTGGATATAACTTACCAAATTTAACCTAACTTGGACATAAAGTTGTACAAGTGTGGTGTATTTGTTGACCAGCAAAAGGCTTTTGATACAGTAAATCATGCAATATTATTGAAGAAATTGGATCACTATGGAAAATGTGGAATTGATTATGATTGGTTGGCTTCATGTCTGGTGAGACAGAAATAACTCGAATTGATCCACAAAATATATCCAATAAAGAAACAGTTTTGTCTGGAGTCCCACAAGGCTCAGTTCTAGGTTCTCTTCTTTTCCTTGTATACATAAATGATATCACAAATAGCTGTGACCAATTGCAACTTTATTTTTTTGCTTGCAACACTAATCTTTTATTTGCACATCACAATCTGAAGACTCTTGATTCAATAGTTAATGACAAGCTTTCAAAAGTTTGCAATTGGCTGATAGCCAGCAAAACTTTAAATATCAAGAAAACCAATTTTGACCTACACAAGAAAAGGTATCTTTTCTTGTGTAGGTCAAAATCTTCAAGAATCTTTCCTGGAAATACCATATTTCATATCTACTGTAGCCTCTAAGATAAGTGTTCCAGTTATTTGTAGGTCAAAATATTTTGTTCTCCTGAATACCTCATGTCACATATAATCACTCATTCAGCCCTATCTGTTGTACTTTAGTTGTGTGGGGTCAAGCTGACAAGACCCATACAAACAGGTCTTTTACTTCTTCTAAAACATGCACTGTTCTTTGGTGAATTTAATAGTCATGCAAACCTTTCTTTGATTCTTCTCATCTACCCCTCTTGGATTTTCTTTGCTTCAAATCAACTGCTGTGTTTAATGCATGATGTAATTAATAACCTAACATCACCTCACATAACCAACATATTTACTTACCTAGCCAATATCCATTCCAGTGATACATGTTTGTCATCAAGAGGCCATTTCTTTGTTGAATACTCGAGAATTTGCAAAATAAACCTTTCTCTAGATATGGTGTGTGAATTTGGAATAGCTTAACTAATGAATTGCATGTCATTTATCTAAACAGAAATTTAAAGTGTAACTTTGTGACGTCTTACTTCAAGTATTGACCCAAGCAGACAACTACATGGACTCGGCTTACTGTAGTTTGCGAAACGAAACGAAATGAAATGAGAAATCTGTAGTTTGCAAAACAAAATGGAAAATCTGTAATTTGTGAAATGGAAAATCTGTAGTTTGCAAAATGAAATTTCCCAGTCAAAATTAAATTATGGCGGGAGATTATCCTGCCGATGACCTTTGCATACATTTGCTATGTAGGAGACCCTTGCGTTACATTTTCTAACAGGTCAGGCAAGTCTAACTTTTTGTCGAGCCATCGAGGGTCGATGGTCTTATGTCAAGGTTGAGGTTATTTAGTCGAGGGTCCCTTTTTTGTTTTTGTTTTTTGCAGCCCATGTTCCTGGTTGAGGGTCCCTTTCTTCTTTTTCTTGGCAATAGAAAATACGAGTCATTGCATTGCGTGAGACCGGATGTTGACATTGTTACGAAATCAAGGCAAACTAGTTCTGTTAAAAAAATTGACTTGAGTTCAAATGCAATCTTGAACGTCACGTCCACTGTCCGTGTCCCGGTTCTTTGGCTGGCAACATCAACCTGTCGTGCTATGTGAGCCAAGAAAGGCAGTAAAAAATATATTACGCTGCCAATTTCGTTTTGTACTTGGCTTGCCCTCACCCCTTAAGTATTTTAATTGTCCATCGTGTTTTAGCGATGAACACGAACCAGAAACAAGGCCTTTTCTCTTTTTATACTTATGCCGTGACGATACCACATTTGTATTGATAAGTGTCAATACTCTTATGGAGGCGGTCTGCCTGAAAATTTAGACAAAACCACCACCCAAGAATGCAATAATTCCACTTCTGGTGGAAAGTACATTTATTTATTATTTTCTTACAATGCATTTTGGACTATTGCTAAAGATAAAGGTGCAAATGTAAGTTCAACTGAGAAATAACTTAGCTTTTGGTGCTGATTTCCCTCTCCATGGAGTCTAACTTTTGGTCGAGCCATCGAGGGTTGAGGTTCTTATGTCAAGGTCGAGGGTATTTAGTCGAGGGTTCCCTTTTTGTTTTTGTTTTTCGCAGCCTATGTATTTAGTCGAGGGTTCCCTTTTTGTTTTTGTTTTTCGCAGCCTATGTTCCTAGTCGAGGGTCCCTTTCTTCTTTTTCTTGGCAATAGAAAATATGAGTCATAGCATTGTGTGAGACCGGCTGTTGACGTTGTTAGGAAAGCAAGGCAAACTAGTTTTGTTAAAATAAATTGACTTGAGTTCAAATGCAATCTTGAACATCACATCCACTGTCCACATCCTGGTTTTTTGGCTGACAACGTCAACCTGTCATGCTATATGAGCCAAGAAAGGCTGTAAAAAAATATATTACACTGCCAATTTCTTTTTGTGTTTAAGAGAGAGAATGTGTGCCTGAGTTTTCTTTTCTTTTATGGCCATTTCGGACAAGCACCCATGAACAACGGGTGAGAATTGAAATCAACCTCACTACCTAATAAATGCCATACATTAGGAGATTCACCCTTCGACTATAATTATTTCATGGGTAAAAAGTGAGAAAACATGTGACTGAAAGTGCAATTCCCACAAACAGCTCTGAGAGGCAATTATGCTACCTTATCCAGGGGAGGGTGCAGCTACATGTTGGCTGAAATAAACCTTCTTCAGGGAATACTTTTTCTTTGTGCGGTTGTTTATCTGCACAAAATGTTAAAACCAGAATGGTGGAAAGTAAACAACAAAGCTATTCCTTTGAATATCACGTGATGTTTGTGGTAAAGATATGCGTGTATGTACTTTCCAGCGGAAGTTCTTGGGTGGTGGTTTTGTCTAAATTTTCAGGCAGACTGCCTCCATAAGATTATTGACACTTATCAATACAAATGTGGTATCGTCAAGGCATAAGTATGAAAGAGAAAAGGCCTTGCTTCCGGTTCGTGTTTGTCGCTAAAACACGACGGACAATTAAAATACTTAAGGGGTGAGGGCGAGCGAAGTACAAAAAAACATTTTCGTGAAAGGGAAGATTGAATGAAAAAAAAATCCATGCACGCCAATTAACCCTGAAAATATCCATGCTATTGCCAAGAAAAAGAAGAAAGGGACCCTCAACTAGGAACATGGGCTGCGGAAAAAAAAAAAAGAAAAAAAGGGACCCCTGAATAAATACCCTTGACCTTGACATAAGACCCTCGACCCTCGATGGCTCTACCAAAAGTTAGACTCGCCTGACCTGTTAGAAAATGTAACACAACTGAAAAGGGTCTCCTATGTAGCAAATGTATGCAAAGGTCATCGCCAGGATAATCTCCCATCACAATTTAATTTTGACCGGGAAATTTCATTTTGCAAACTATAGATTTTCCATTTCGCAAACTACAGATTTTCCATAATTTTTGCAAACTACAGATTTTCCATTTAGCAAACTACAGATTTTCCATTTTGCAAACTACAGATTTTCCATTTCACAAACTACAAATTTTTCATTTCGTTTCGTTTCGCAAACTACAGTAAGCCATGTTGATATATAAATGGCTTCCTATTCTCAATTCTAATCCTCTGCAAGGTGTTTTCTTACTCACAAGCCTCATTTGCTGGAGATTGTGAGAGGAAATTGTGATGGTTAAATCAAGCCTGATATTATTTTTTGATATCATTACAGAAAGAAACAAAAGTCGAGTTTGCTTTTGTCCACTTTCACCTATGGCAATGGAGAAAGGTTTAAAAAGTTACGAAGATCTCTTGGACATCTCCAAGTCATACTCATTTGTCTATCATCAGCCATCTTGTAAAGGAAAACCTGCAAGGTAAACTTGTATTTGATAACACCTACATGTGTAGTTTCAAGTTAAACTTACAGGAAAAAAGTATTGTATTCAGAAAAACTGTGCAAGTACTGTGATGCTGCCTTTTACTTGGGCCCCTGTGGAAAATCCCAAGTCTTAAACTACCTTGTGGTGATTGTCTATCTTCCTAAAAGGCCCTTTTGGAATTTCTGCACAGGCACTGATTATCAGGCTCTGACAATCTTAACATAAGTCCTCTGAACAGCTGAAAGGGCTTATTATTTACTAATTATGCCTTCTAACACATGAAACCCAAACTTGAGTTGGTATGCACTTGGAAGCTTGAAATCATTTAGCTTTGAAACGAGTTGTTTGACAGGACAATATCAGTGATGTTTATGAAAACATGCAGCTCACAGCACAGTTTGTCCAAGCATACTGTGTGTGATTTTGGGGTCTAATGGTCATTAAACTTGCAGTACAGGTGGCCTAAGCATACTGTGTGTGATTTTGGGGTCTAAAGGTCATTAACCAGAATAGCTTATGATTAAATTAAGATTAAACTTAAGCATAAGCAGGTGTGCCTCTTGGGTTGATGGGAGGAATTGGGTACTTTTGCTGCTCTAATGGGTAGGTACAGCTGTAGTTACGATTTGCTCTTATTGGTGCCAAGATCAGTTGACCTCTGGGGCAATGGTTGGTGCTCAGGACAGGTTCAAGTGACCAGCCTTCCCTATTTTTACATAGAAGGATGGCAAATAGTACAAGGAAAGTCAACAAAATAGAGTTAAAAGAGCTCAAAGCAATAAGGAGGCTATGGAAGAAAGTTAAGAAGAATTAATGCTTTACATATCTTGCCTTAATTATTCTTTTTATTTCTTTTTAATTTTTTTAATTTTTTTTCTATTTTGATTTTACAGCATAGATTTAAGCTTAGAATTTAATCTTAATTTATTAGGTATTCCTGTTAATGACTTCTAGACCCCAAAATCACACACAGTACACTTGGGCTGCCTGTGCTTGTAACACATTGGTCTTTGTTTTCATGGTTGTCTCCTTTTTGCAATTGAAAACAAACCTCGTAGTCTTTTGCCTTGAAATGATATAACTTCAAATGAATTAGGATTGAACTACAAGTTTTCTTTCTCTTTTTACCAAATGAAATTCAAGATATGGGACAATTATTCTTGTGTTTGGTTACTGATGGATCCAGCTGCTAATTTAGGCAAAAGGTCATTGAATTAAAGCAATCAGCTAATGGACCCCAACTGTTTCACAGTAGATCATAAACAATTGAATTGAATCGCAATAGTATTGGGTTTGTGCCTAAACTGGAATATTTTTTTGTTCAGTGATACTGTAGTGTATTGTACTGGAAGTGTTAAAAGGTTGTGTTTGTAGGCATCCTGTGATGCCTAGCGAAAGTTGTTGTTGTGGTACTGGTTGGCCACCGTGTGGATAGTGTGTGGATTAAAGTATTGAAATCAAAGAACATCGAAGGTTTTTGTTGCGGTATATCCAAATATCACATCTGGCGACGAAGATAGGATGGTGAGGAATGTCTTTGTGCCAGTTTCATTTACCATTTTGTGTTTGGAGGGGACATACTTCTTTACAATGCCTGGGGGAGAATCAATGAGAGAGATGGCATTTCGGTGAGCACAAGTAGTGGGGTGTCAACCCAAGTGGCTTTGGAAGTAGGCAGTTTACAGCCTTTTCAAGTTAAAGGAGATCCACATTCGGTTTCGTAGCGATAGAGCAAATGAAAAAGAGCGTTTCAATTGTACATGCTTGGTAAAGGGATCACGAATGACTCGCAGAAACATGGCCTGCTACTTCACACAGCTGGACTCGATGTACAGGAAGTTTATTTCACACTGGTGCCTGATGGTGCAGAGAAGAACTACGCCGAAACTTTCAAGGTACTGGATGACTATTTTATTTCTAAAGCTAATGTACCGTTTAAGAGACATTTGTTTTGGCAAATTAGTCAGAGTAATTAAGAAATCGTTGATCAATTTGTTTGTCAGCTCAGACTACGAGTTGACTCACGCTTCGTGTGAGTTTGGAGAGCGGGAAGATGAGTACATCAGAAATCAAGTGATTGACAAATGCTACTTGGCAAAATTGCGTCGGAAATTTTTAGAAAAGGAAGGCAGTGTTGCTTTGAATGACCTACTAGTTACAGCTTGGGCACAGGAAGCAGTTAATTTGCAGATGGAAGCAATGGGGGCTAACAGTGGTTCAGGACAAGTGACCACTGTTGTTGATGATGTGGCAAGTGGAGGTGACATAAGTTCAGAGCAGGTTAACAGTGTGGTGAATTTAAGAGGGAGCACTAGTAGTGAGAGGAGGGACTGTTTCAATTGTGGTGAAGAGAATCACTTAGCTAGGGATTGGAGATGTCCTGCTTGAGGTAGAAAGTGTCTTCAGTGTGGAGAAATTGGACATTTCAAGGTCAAGTGTTGTAAGAAGCTCGTTAAGGATTCCCATCCAGGGCCAAGATAAGGTGATGGTCGGCGTGATTGGAGAAATACATCTAGTGTGAGTGAAAGAGGCAGAAAGACAAACACACATTATGTTGATAGTAGCCCTAAATTGGGACAAGACTCAACACCTAACTATGTGTTTTCAGTGGGGGATGGGCTTGACCAAAAGAGTGGAACCGTAACTGTTGTAGCTGGAGGTGTTCATTTGCCAAATGTCCTTGTTGACTCAGGAGCAACATGCAACCTTTTAGGCCAAGGAACTTGGGAGTGGCTTAAGTCATAGAAAATCCAGTGTCAGACCCGAAAGGAGGCCAAAGCCTTATTTCCTTGTGGAAGTACAAAGCTATTGCCAACACTCAGAACATTTGCAGCAGACATTATGTCCATTGACACACTGCTGTGACCTGCAAAGCTGATTTTGTAGTTATAAACAGAGATGGCAGAAGTCTCCTCTGCAGAGAAACAGCAGTGAAACTTGGTTTGCTACGACTTGGGCCTAGCCATGCCGTTAATGCTGTCAATACAGAAGCTGATATCAAAGAAAACTACAAAGAACTTTTCAACAGTGTTGGCCCTCTTAGGGATTACGAGTTCAAGTTAAATATCAATGATTCGGTGAAGCCAGTGGTGCAGCCAGTCCACAGGATTCCATTCGGTGTATGAGAGAAAGTTGAGAGAAAGGTAGATGAATTGTTGGAGAGTGGAATCATAGAGGAGGTCCCTGAAGTACCAACAGGGTGGGTCTCACCACTTGTGGTTATACCCAAGGCAGACAGAGATATCGGGATTTGTGTAGACATGAGGTGTGCCTATCAAGCAATAGTGAGGGAACATCAGCCTATCCCTACAATAGAGGAGGTGTTTCAAGATCCTAATGGTAGCACAGTATTCAGTTGTGTTGATCTGAAGTGGGGATTTCATCAGATACTTTTAGCTGAGGAGAGTAGACATGTGACAATGTTTGTGACTCATGGTGGTCTCTATAGATATACCTGACTCATTTTTGGTGTCACCTCAGCACCTGAAAAGTACCAACAAATCATCCGGGACATACTGCGAGGCTGTGAAGGCGTGGCTAATATAGCAGATGACCTGATAATTCCCAGATGAGGGGAGGAGCAGCATGATAAGAGGCTCTTGGCTGTGCTCGATCGATTGAAGGAAACAGGTCTGACACTGAACAAAGACAACTGTGAATTCAGATTACCCAGGTTGACATTTTTTGGACACGAAGTAACACAGACCAGTATAGAACCCAGTGAAGAGAAAGTCGCAGCAATCAGACAGGCAGGTCCTCCTCAGAATGTTAGTGAAGCCAGATCTTTCCTTCGTCTTGCCCAGTTTGTGTCTAAGTTTGTCCCAGATCTGTCATCCATTGCAGAACCCTTTCAGAGGTTAACCCACAAGAATGCTGAGTTCAAGTGGGGCAGAGAACAACAGTTGGCATTCGAGAAGTTAAAAGAGCTGATCATGCATGCGGATATCCTAGCTTACTTCAATGTAAACAGCAGAACAAGAATTGGGGCAGATGCGTCACTGGTGGGGCTTGGAGCGCTTTTAACCCAGCTACATGGAAGTGAATGGCGTGTGATTGGGTATGCTTCATGACGCCTGTTTGATGTGGAGCGGCGATACAGCCAAACAGAGAAAGAGGCCCTAGCCTTGGTATGGGCTTGTGAATGCTTCAACATGTATGTTTTCAGCAGGGAGTTTGAGCTCGAGACAGATCATAAGCCTCTGGAGTACATCTATTGGCAGAAATCGAAGCCTTCTGCTGTGTGGAAAGGTGGGTCCTTTGCCTACAGGCCTATCACTTCAAGGTAGTTTACAGACCAGGCAAGACCAACATCGCAGATGCCTTGTCTAGGCTAAATTGTGGGTTCCAAAGTAATGACGGAGAAGATTATGACTTTGTGCAGGCTATGGTTGAGAACAGTGTTCCTTGTGCTTTGACACCCACTGAAATAGAAAAAGCCTCAGCAGAGGATATGGATCTGAACCTCTTCAAAGAATGTGTCCAAACAGGAGATTGGAGTCAGTGCAATGTACCTGCATACCTGCATGTGAAGAATGAATTGTGTACATATGGTGGGCTGCTTTTACGGGTTCCAGGCTAGTGATTCCCCGAGAATTGTGACTGTGTGTTTTGGAGTTGGCCCACGAGGGACACCAAGGTATTGTTAAAACAAAATGTAGACTGTGCAATAAAGTATGGTAGCCCAAGATGGATGCTGATGCAGAGAAGCTGTGCAGGAGTTGCCATGGTTGTGAAGTGGTCAGTGAATATGCTTCCCCAGAACCTATGGCTCGAGCTTTTGCTCCCAGTGGCCCTTGGGAAGATTGTGCAGCTGACATTCTGGGTCCCTTACCTTCAGGGGAAAGTTTACTGGTGGTGGTAGACTATTTTAGTAGATATTTTGAAGTGGTTATTTTGAGGTCAACTTCTAGCACAAGAATCATTGAAGCTCTAAAACCAATATTTTCCTGGTTTGGAGTGCCGCATACACTCTACTGACAATGAGCCTCAACTGGTATCTGAAGAGTTTGAAGCCTTCCTTGCAGAAAATTGGATAGAACACCGAAGAACAACTCCCCTGTGGCCACAGGCCAATGGGGAAGTAGAGCGTCAGAATCACTCATTGATGAAGTCAGTCCAGATAGCTCGCATTGAGGGGAAATATTGGCGTCAAGAGTTAGACATTCCTAACTGCATATAGGTCAACTCCTCAGATGACAACTGGAGCAACACCCTTCTACCTGATGTTTGCAAGGGAAATGCGGTCAGAGTTGCCAGACCTGCGAAGGGGGGCACCTATCACTATTGAGGAAGTCCACAATCATGACTGGTCAAGGAAGTTATCGCAGAAAGAGTATGTTGATGCAAGGAGAATTGCTGTTGCAAGTGAAGTGGAGGTTGGAGATAAAGTACTTCTGAAGAACTCGAAGACTAACAAACTGTCTCCAAACTATGACACAAATCCTTGTGAAGTAATAGACAGGAAAGGAGGAGAGGTAATAATTAGGAGCATAGCTGGTGCCAAAATAAAAAGAAATGTCTCATTTGTGAAAAGTATCAAGAGAAACCCTTGGAGGCAAAAGTTGATATTGCACCCGTCCATCGAGAACACGAAGGAACAAACCAAGCAGAAGTAGCAAAAGGGGAGGATGAACTCCCAAGGCCAGGCCAACTGGATCATTGATGTCTGTTCAGCAGGCCACTGCCACGATCTCAAATCCACTTTAAGTCGCCATTCACCCTCAGAGGTTTAGATATATTTCGATTCTCTGTGTTATCAGGATTAATCTCCGAAAAAAATTTTTTGATTGATTAAATATTTCCCGACATATGCCACCTCAAAGTTCGTCCTTTGGCCACGCCCTTCTGATTTGGCTACACTAAGTTAGTACTGGTAACTAAAAGCCCTCATAACGTCACAGCAAGAACATCCTTCAATCGATGTGCCTACATTCACTTGAATATGCCTCCAGACGAATCTGGTGTATTTGAGCAACCAGCGACCATGCAATGAGTTGGCATTTTCACATCATTTTACAGCAATAGACACATTCTCTTATACAAGAAGTTAACATTGGTTCTTGCTGAAACATCCCTCGGCCCATTAAGGTGCGAGTAGTACAGTGGTCAGTGCGCTGGACTCTGGGTCAGATGGCCCGGGTTCAAGTCCTGGCTGGGGCTTGACGTTGCATCCTTAAGCAAGATGCTTCACTCACATTGCTTTGTCTTCTCTG